CTTCATGTGCAGAGTTGGCAATCTCCACCGCCATGTTGTCGCCCATCGCTAGAGCATTGAGGCAAGGCGCGACGTCCACACCTTCGAGCTCGGGGCGCCAGGCTCGAAAGGCCTTGAAGCGGGATGATGGCAGACGAACGCGAAGGGCGTTACGCCTGGCGCGCGCGGGAGGAACGCGGAAAGTGTAGTAAAACTCCCGTAGGTCGTCGCAAGAAACTGCCAGCCACTCCCCAGGCGCCAGACCCAAACGGCACAGCAGGAAACCCTGGCCAAGGCGCTGGGTGCTGGACGAGATTGAGGCACAGCGGCTGTTCACGACCGTTGGGTTCAGGATCAGCCTGTCGAAGTCGCTGTCCTTCGGTACCCTGAAAGCTCCGCAGGCTTCATCCCAGGCGAGGTCCGAAGCAGGAGTCAGGTACAGGGCGCCGCAGGCATCCCACTTCTGGAGCAGGGCCCACAGCTCGGCGCGGTCCATATGGACACGCGCCCCCTTTTGGCCAGCAGGCCACTCTGACGCCGGGAGCCGCATCTCCTCTGGATTGATGAACGCTTCGCGGACTCGAGCGTCAGAGAGAAATGGAATGGGATCAAACACTGGCGAGTAATCCCACTTAATGCGAGACGCCCTGACTTTTAAATCGAAGGGCTCGACCTGGGTGGAGTCCCAAGCCGCCGCAGACGCCAGCGAACCAGGCACGGAAGGAGCGCTGGTCGGGCAGTGCCGCATGGGGGCGGGCACGGAAGAAGAGGAGGTGAAGGAGGCCTCCAAAGCTGCAACATGGGTGGCCAGGCCATGGAGCGAGACCTCAGTAGAGTCGAACTTGGCGAAGGCTCGACCTAAGTCGCTCTTGCCACCACGGGCAAGGCGAACTGCGATCCGACACAACCGTTCGATACGGGTGCGGACGCCCTCCTGGCAGGGCGAGACCGTGGCGCGGACACGAGCCTCGGCGGGAGCGAGGCTAGGATGACCCAAAGTGAGCCAGTTCAACGCAATAACAGAATACTGCGCGAGCGTCCGCGCCGCGCGCCGCAATCTCCAGCGCTCCCTGCGCCTCGCCGACAAGCCGTCAGGCGGGGGACCAAGAGGTGGAGCAGGCGGGCACGGCCAAGGATCGCGGGGAGGCGGCCCCAAAAGGTACGGGTCGTCCCTGTCCATTGCACGCATTGATGAGCGGGAGAAAGATCCAAGAGAACATCGAGCACCCATCCCAACCTGGGACAGCGCTGCCGCCCAGTGGGTGATATCAATGTTCGCGCCTGGAAACAGGCGCAGCAAGGCAGACAAGTCAGCGACAAATGGCGCGACGTTGGCAAGAGCAGCAGGGGTGCTTGAAGGAGAACAAGCACCAGCAAGAACACCAACCTCAGGGGCTGCAGGCCCCATGGGGGGAGCGCTCGACTGAGGCAGGTGACGGCCAAAATGGCCGAATGGATCCGAGGGGCGGTTCGGAGCAGAGCGAGGGGCGTGGTGGCGGAACGTACTCCTCCCTGCGGGGCCGCAACAGCATCGCTGGAGGAGCGCATTCCTACCCTCACGCCCTCGCTGCGCCCAAACACGCCTAGCAGCCGTAGCAGCGTCGGTGCAGACTGTCTGCGGCGGCGTACCCCGGCCACGCGAAGGCCCCCCCTCCAAGAAGGCGGGCGCCAAGGGCATCTTCAGTCCTTCTTGGGCACCGCCTTCGGGGCCTTGGGAGCACCCTGAGACTTGAAGGGGGGCTTTGAGACCTTGGGCTGCTTGGGCTGATGAGGTGGATGCTTGGGGAGCGCGACGGCGCGCTCGGCGTCGAGGCGCGCCCGAAATGCTTGCAGCTCCTTCATGTATTCGCCCTGCGCCGACAGCCAGCGAGGATCCACTAGGGGTGAAAACGGGGTCTGGGCCTCGCGCTCCGTGTGACGACTGGTCACGCGACACGGGGGAGGCTCCAGCCCCGTGAGGAACCAAGCGGCCTCGAGGTAGCCGCGGTCCCCCGCCAACTGGTCGATGAACATGCACTGGCAAGTCAGCAAGGTCTGGACCCTCTCGGGGTTGCCCTCCTCGCAGGCCCGCCACAGCTCGGCGCTGAGGAAGGCAAAATGCGTCAACAACTCGTGCGTCGACGGCTGAGCCCCGAGGGGGCTGTGCTCGCGAAAGTACTGATGCATGGCCATGGGGGTCACGGCGCTGACTTCCACGCCCAGAACGCGGGCCAAATTCTCCTTCATCAGTCCTCGCACGTCGGGGCCGTGCTGCATCAGCGCTTGCTGCCACTCGCGCCTCCGAGCGATTCCCCCCATCTGAGCCGATGCGTGCGCGGGGTCGCCCGAGGTCGCGGGCGGAGTTTGAGCTTGGTCGCTCAGGGTCCCCAGAAGCGGGTGGAAGGCTGGGCGATGGCCCCGCCCCTGCTGCAAGGAAAGGGACTGGTGCAGGCACTGAAGCATGAGGCTGAAGTCCGTCGGATTGGCCGCAAGGGGCGGCTCTAACCCGTCGGCGCCGCCCGCCTCGGCAAAGCCGTCGACCGCAGCGGGATGGGCTAGCCCAGGCGGCGGCGGGGGGCCCATCGGTCCGGAAGCGGACGAAGGGGCCCGAGGGACAGCAAGAGAGCGCGCCTTCTCCCACGCCGAGACCAGCGCGGAGGTGGGTCCCTTGGGGCGCGCGGAGACCCGATGTGGGGCCACGGGCGCGTGGGACAAGACGGCCTCGATCCCCGCAGGATCCAGCCCGAGGCGCGCCGCCTCGTCGCTGAAAAGCTGAGGCACCTCGGGCCGAGCGCTCCGGGCAGCCGGAGCGGGGCCCAGCGGTTCGGGTCCGCCGACCATCGTGGAGGCCGCGTGGGCTGCAAGCAAGGCGCGCATTTCGGCAGCTACCTCGGCGCGGGTCATGGGAGCCCCGTCGTCCAGAGACGCCGCAGGAGCACCAGGAGCAATCGGAGCAGGACCCGCGACCCGTGGCGGCGCGGCGGCGCCAGCGCGCTTGGCGGGCGGGCCGCGCGGCGCTCCAGCGACCGCGGGGGCTCGCGCACTTGGGGCCGCGCGGTCGGCTTCCCCGTCGGCCGCGAACCCCTCGGGCTCCTCCATCTCGTCGGCAGAGTGGTAGGGGGTAGCCCGATCGGCCCCTGGGAGAGGCTCTTCCCCTGCGGTAGGCGGGGCGCCGTGCAAACGAGCGTAGCCCTCGCGAAGCACCCGAACCCCCGAAGGATGCGGCCAATAGACGCGGCTGCGCACCTCGGCGAAGGGAACGATGCCTGCGTCGTCGCCGACCTCTAGAGGGTACAGCGACTCGAGCTCGAGCTCGGCAACCTCGATATCTATAACGAGGACGGATGCGGTAGTGGCGAGCGGCCGTGAAGCGGCCCCCTGGAGCTGGACGTCCACTAGCTGGAAGGGGCCTATCATCCCAGCAAAGCCATCCGCCTCGGCAGCCTCGAGCTCCGCTGTAGAGCGAAAGGCACCAGGCAGGGCCAGCAGGATGCCCCCTTCTCGAGAGGCGAGGGGGATAGCCGCCCAGCTGGTGTCGCCGTCGTCTAGGCGCCATCGTGCGTAGTCGCGCGCCGTGGGCGCAGCGAAAGGGTAGAGCTCGGGCCAAAGGGGCCCTCCGCCAACTGGTGGCAGCTCCGCCATCAGTGGGCGCCGCCGTGGACGCCGCCGCCCGCACGCTGGGCGTCTGCCCGCTCGAGCGCTTGAGGTCGAGGCGGAGCCCCGTAGGCCAGCGCTCGCGCCGCACGGCGGTCCTGCTCAGGTGAAGCAGAAACCGCGCCGCGCGGCCAGGCGGAGGGCCAGAGCCTCCGCCACACGTACGGGCCCAGCAGCCCGAGGCAGCAGCCCGCGCAGGCGCTGCAGGCGGCCGTCACCCAGAGGAGGGCGGCGACCGTGCTGAGCAGCCAGGGAGAGACCCCGCCGCTCAGGTCCACCGCCAGCCCGAGGCAGACGGTGGGGCAGGTGGAACCCGCCGAAGGGAGAGGGCAGGAGGCCCCCTCACCCTCGGACGAGTCCGCCTGCTGGATGGACCAGGCAGGCGATGGAGGCCCCTGGTCCTGAAGCACAGAGAGGGGGGCAGCCACGAGCCGCTCGTAGAGCGCGGCCCGCAGCCCCCTGAACAAAATCTCCCCAGCGCCCTGGAGAGCCGCTTGTGCGACCGCCTGCATAAGGCGCCCGCACGCGCGGCCGACGGGGGGCACTTGGGCAGAGAAGCTGCGGAGACAGCAGGAGCTTGCTCACAGAGAATAGAAGAGGCAGGACGAGGAGGAGGACGAGGAGGAGGAGGAGGAGCCCCTCCCTCCCCCTCCAACCTATGGTGGTGGTGGAAAACAAGCCTATCACCTTCTCTCCCCTCCCGTCGCCTCCCCTCTCGACCCGGGTCGCTCTCCGAATACCCTCCTCCTCTCTCCCTCTCCCTCGATCCTGGCTTGGGCATCGGCGGCGGTCGGGTCGGCGTCCCCTGTTCCTGGAGGGGGCGTCGGGGGATCCTCTGGCTGAGGTTCGCTGGGCACTGGCCAGGTCCTAATGAGGTGTAGCTGCCAAAGGCCAGGGGGCATTGCGCCCGAGCCAGACTACGCCTACCGCATTGCAGTTTGATCACGTGAAATACCGTGTGGTGAGGCCTTCAAACATTTGATGTCATCGGACCGTCTGTCACCGACAAGTTTAGCAATCCTGACGCGCCTTGACAAGGAATAGATGGTGACCCGTCTTCAAAAACGCAATTCGTTGTCGGACCGGGCGAGCGGAGTCGACACTCTCCGTGATCTCGTCGGGCTTCGGCCGACTGCATGCAATCAGCGGGATTAGAATAGAAGCTTTGCCGCCAAGTGTCCACAGATCTCACACAACGGACGGAGCCCAGTGTTGCCTGCAGCTGCGCCTCGGCGCAAAAAGGGCGCCCTGGAAACACTCCGGGGAGGGATCCACGAGACCCCGAGCCCCTTGGGACACCGAAGTGGCCCTCGGCACGACGGCAGAGGTCGGCTCCGCCGACGGAGGGCGGGGCCGCTCGTGCAGGGTGCGCCCTCCGAGGCGCGGGCTCCCAGCGCTCCACGGCGAATCGGTCGAGGCGGAATCTCGGCAGCTGCTCCTGAGCAGGCAGAGAGAGACCACAAAGAGCCAGAGCTGCCAGGGATCCGCGCAGAGCGCACCCCGGCGCAAGCGCCGATCCAAGACAACCGCGCGGACCTCCGAAATTGTCTGTTTCGGGGGTGAGGCGGAAGTGAAACGTGAGGTGCCCCAACCAGAGAATCATTTCGTTTCGTGCGTGACGTGCGTGCGTGCGAGGCGAAGCTGCGAAAATTCGTCTCCTGGCCAAGGCCAAGTCAATCAAAAAGGGAGCGCCCCTATCCGGGCCGAGGGGCGAAACTTGTCCTCATGGCTGTCCCGATGGTTTTGCGAGGTCAGAATACAACAAATGCACTCCGCGAGGCAATGATACCGAAACATGCGCCCTGCGACGCCATACTGTCAAACACATGCGCATCGCGGGGCAAACATAGTGACATATAACGACCTGAGGACATGTTTCCCAAACGTGCACTACGGAGCAACATGTACAACACCTAGTATATCATGAGACGCATCGATGGATTGATCGATAAAGCACATGTCGAGAGACAGTGAGGATTATACATTTGATGCAAGATAAACATATCGATTGATATACAAACACATCGATGGACAGGTAGACCAATTACCCCGATGGTTGTTCCAATGGTTGTTCCATGATCCAGTGTATATGTTTATACATGTGTATGTATACAAATGATCTGACAATGGCAGCGTTACATGGACGGTGAGACGGGTAGCTAGTGAGACAGACAGGTTGATAACTGGCCAATCGACTTATACACAGGGGTGCACAACTACATGCACACATATATACCTACATACTTACATACCTACATACCTACATACATATAAACATACATACATAGACACATACATGCATGCATGCATGCATACATGCATATGCATATAAAGCTATCAGAATACATGCATGCATGCATGCATGCATACATGCAATCATGCATATATACATTCATGCACATCTATGTATGTATGGATGTGTGCGAATGTATGCATCGATATTCAACGTTAAACTGATGCACACTTCTAGGTAAGTCATACGAAGGCGCACGCACACCGTGATATGTACATAGAACTTAAGAGACGCAGACACAAGTTCATATGCATACATATGATATAGCTGTCGTTACACATTCTGGCATATAGAGATTATATATATATACACATATCGATAGGTATTCGAAATTGCTCTTGATATCGCCACGTGTGTCGACAGCTGCGTTGAAGTGCGCGTCCGATTCAAATCACAAATGAAGACCCCCACCGCCATACCTCCTTGTCACCCGAAATATGGTCAATGAAGTATCCTGATTGTTTCTTTGTTTCGAGCACCGGAACCCTGGCGTATTCCTGCTCCTACTCCTACTCCTGCTCATGCTCCCTCTGCTGCTTCTCCCTCGGATCAGTGCCGGACCCCCCTGACGGCGCCTGCGGCGCCGCCCCAGGCGAGCTCCACGCGAACGTTCGAACATTTATCTTTGCGAATGTCCTGAAGATATTGGGTTCTTGTTGCTCATGAAGCCTGTCCGCGTCAGTCCTTTTCCTCCCGCATCCCTTTCTCATTCGCACTCAGACACGAGAGAACTGCCGCTGACCCGGTATCAAATTCTACCCGATAGCTCCCGCTGCAGACATCCCACGACAGCTGGCCCGCGAACACTCTCGTGCACCACCCCGCTTGGGGGCCCCCAGGAGGAGCGCGACGCAGGCTCCCGGAGCAGCCATGCCACGAGAACTGGGCCGCCAGCGAAGCCGTGCAAGGGCTGCCACGCAAGGCGGCGGCAGGCTCGAGCTGCAGCAGGCCCGAGCCTCACGCCTCGCCCCGAAGGGAGGGAAGGCCCGGGAGGGTCCCGATAGGGGGTCGCCTCCTCCTCCAGGAAGCCGGCCCCCTGATCCCGGCCCGGAGCCCCTCGTCCAGGAATCCCGAAGACGCCCGAGAGTGCGCACGACTGCATCGCTCCTCGAACCTCTCCCTCCTGGACCCTCGACCTTGAGGAGGAGGAGGAGGAGGAGGAGGAGGAGGAGGAGGAGGAGGAGGAGCGCCGCTGCCAAGAGCGAAGGGCGGACGAGAGCACGAACGCGAAGAACGACGCCCGTCTAGGGTTATGATGTTCCAACTTACTGTAGCCTGGATCACCAGAAAGAATTTCGAGCGCCAGAAGAATACCCAAAAACTCATGGGTTTTCACGTGTCGGGCCCTGGGAGACACTCGTCCGACACTGTTTCGACACTCTTTCGATACTTTTCTGGGTGCTCGAAATTCTTTCTGGGATGTGGTCACTAAATACGACGGGAGCGACATACGTCTAGGGGTGAGAGAACGCCGCGCCCCTCAGGGGGACTTCTCCCGCGCGAGAATGAGCTCAGGCACGCGCGAGAGAGAGAGAGCAAGAGAACAGAGAGGCAGCGGCGGCCCAGGGGGGCGGCAGCCCGAGCAGGAGGATGAGGAGGTGACCCGCCTACTTGCAGGTGCCCAGGGACACACAAGTAAATAGGCACAAATAACAGGATTCAACATATTCCCTACATTTTCTGGGTTTTCGTCTTCCCCCCCGCTTCCCATACTCTCCCATACTGTCGTCGGAGTCGACGATGAATTGTGCCTGTGTGTTCTTTCCCCCCCTGACTACCGGCAGGCCTGAGCTAGGATCGAATCCCGAAATCGGATCCGGACCAGATCGCCAACGAATCGTCCCGAGTCGAATCGAAATCCGATCGCCGCGCCTGGCTCCAGGTGGCCCCGGCCGATGCCAGCTCAGTGTTAGGTCGGGCATGTCCCCCTACAGGCGGATTTGGGGCGAAAAACTCAAATTCGTCACACAAGAAAACCCCAATGGTCAGAAAGAATCAAACAAATCGTCCCCAGACTATTTTTTGACTATCTTTGAATTCTCCTCCTGTGGAGGGGCAGGCCCGACTTAGTGCCGGTGAAACGCACCGACATCAGGGTCGAGGCCAGAGGATCGAATCGCATCGAATCGGGTCGTATAGAGGGCAGAAGATCCACCCCCATCATAACCACCCCGACACGCGAGGCCGTTTCATAAACGCCCAAGGCCGTTTACTAAACGCCAATTGTCTGGTCCGGGTGTTTTTTTCTCCTTTGACCGTAGGCTTAAGTCGGGCCTGTCCCCCCACAGGGGGATTTTCGACGAAAAATAAGAAGTAGCCCAGAAATAATAAAGAAATAGTCCAACAAAAATCTAGGGACTATTTTGAGTTGTTTTTTGTTTTTGTTTTTACCTTTTTGAAGCATGTTTGGGGTATTGCTTATTTTTCGTCGAAAATCCCCCTGTAGGGGGACACGCCCGACATAATCGTAGGCACCCCTGTGCTGGTGTCCCCCGCTGGCCCGACCCCACCCCGTCCTGCTGCGGCGGAACCTGGGCGTCGAAGCCCTCCTCCACCTGCAGGCACCCTGCGTCCGCGGTCCTGGAGCCGACCGCTGCCGCCGGCGGTCATTCACTCCTGCTCCTCCTCCTTCTCTTCCTCCTCCGCCTCCGTCTTCTCCTCCTCGTTCGTTCGTTCGTTCGCGGCTTTAGGGCAGAGAGTGGAAGCCCGATCACAGAGGGTGGACGGCAAAAAGAGTGGGATGGGGGGCAAGAGCGGCGGCGGCAGCAGAGCCAGCAGCCAGCAGCAACGGTGAAGCCTCGGCTCTGAGCAGCCACACAGCTGCATCAGGCCGTACAGGGGCGAACAAGTCAGGTGAGATGGCAGTCCTAGGTCGAGGTGTCCCCACCCAACACTACCGTCTCCCTCCCCGATCATACTGTGCGGTAAGGGCTACTGCCTTTTAAAGTGGGCGTACACTATAAGAAGGAAAGAGGAAGTAAAAAATACGGTTTGGAAAAGGAAACCTTCACCCCCAGAGGGTCAGCTACTGACAGTGTCGAGCCGTAAACTATAGTAAACAGCACTGGACTACTACTACTTTTTATAGTGAGTGTACACTGGCGGCACTTGGGTGAGCACGGCGTCACCTTCATAGTCCAGCCCTTCACTTCACCTCTGGTCTCTACACTGTACTATGAGGCCCCCCACGAGGCTAACAAAGTTGCTGTTAGGCGAGACATCAGGTGAGCAGGGGGAGGGCAACAAGGGGAAAAGTGAGTTAGCTCTGCCCTGCATCCTCTCTGTCTGGCCTGTTTTGTCGCATGCAATCCATACCAATCATTCCCGTGTCCAAGTACGGGTCCAGTGGAACATAGTATCTTCGTAGTGACGGTGGTAACCACTCATCACAAGTCTCATCCAGATTATATTGCTTTCTTAACCATAACTCATCTTCATAAGTCCATACATGTTGTGTATCTGTTGGTACAAACGTAGTATTCCATCCTGATTGTCGTGGTGTGTCGGCCTGTGCCCGAGTCGTGGTGCGTGGTGGTTGTTTGAATCGTAACCTTCGTGTCGTCACGGTCGATGCAGGAGTGGGTGGTGGAGGTGGGGGGGTATCGAACAACCAGGGAAACTTCACCCAAGCCTCCTGAGCAAAGGCCCTCCCCAGAAGCTCACATAGCCCTTTGGGATACACTTTAGCGTGCGCGGTATTCCAGATCCCCATATGGTCGACCCCTTCGAGAGCGATATGCCCCATAGTATGGTTGCAAAGAACCCCATTAGGCCTAGCCCATATGGCATCACGAAGGGCACCAAAATGCACTCCCATAAGACTCGTGGGTTTGCGCGAGGGGGCTCCAAACATACACTGATGTATGGTGTGCTTCTCCACCCCTGGTTGTTGAAGAAGATCTTCGGTGAGCTCCAAATGCCAAGAGCTCGGGGCCTCTGGGGGGCTCCAAGGCTCAGCTGGGTGCTCCACAACTTCAGGAATGAGAAGCCTCCAACATACCAGTGCAAACTCAAGTGTGGTTCTCAAAAGCCTATTTCCAAGAGAAAGCTGATCAGACTCACGCTCTGAAACAAATGGTAGCCCCCACAGCTGTGAAGCGAGCCTAAGAGGTCTGGGTGGCCTCGCACGGGGCCCACGGGCTCCTTGAGTGGGTTCCCTGAAACGAGCAATCAACCACGTTTCGCAGGGGGGGCCTGCCATGACCCCCGCCACACGTCCTGATTTTGCCAAACGGATCCACATTAAAACTGAACAATCGTTGGTTAGGTCTCCCCAAACAGGATGGTTGATGACGTCAATTGATAGTACTATAATGTTAGCCTTGAACCTCTCTAAAGCCATCTCCACCTGGTGCTGGAAGTCGTCTTGTCGTCGGTAACCTGAGAAGAGATGTAAGATGTACATCTGTGGCCTGCACGGTGCCCTCAGGGGGCTGAATACTGGCGGCGGTGGTGGTGGTGGTGCCTCTTCAGGCACGTCGTACTGAGGTAGCTGCTGCCCCTGTCCTGGTAGAGCAATGGGGGGGCCAAAGAAACGTTTGGGGGGCTTGACCGCTTGATGGTCCTGCTTACCAGCTTTGCGATTCGCAGCAGTTTGCTCACGAATCTCGAGCATGTTCGCAGAAATAGCTGCTTCATCCCCCAGACAACGCCCTGAGAAAAACCAGGCCTGTCTACACCGCACCACTCTGGATACATGTTTATGGAGCCTCCCAGGGGCGTGAAAATCTTTGCAACAAACCTGACAACAGGTCCCCACCACGAAGTTTTTGGGAGCACTATGGGGGGCATGAAATTTACCCAAGTGGACATGGTAATCACGTTCCGAAACAAAAACTGCTGGGCAATGAGGACACTTAACTGTGGGTGAGGGCCCAACCTGCTTCTCAAGCGGGGGCCCCCGAAGGTGCTGCCTACATCTCCTGTTCCACGCCTCGAGGTGAAACTGGTCACTCCAGAATCGTACTGCTTTGGAGGCAACAGTCTTCAGGGCGGAACGAAAAGCCTTCGGACTGTCTTTAATAATCCTGATCCAGCTGGGCAGTGTATTGTCCTGCGGCCGTTTGCTGGGATCCAGGAAAGTGTTGAACCAATCAAGATCAGCCTCAATGAGAGCCATCCAACCACGAATTGGCTCACTGAGATATTGCATACAAACACACAATATGTCCGGACAGCCAGCCATGAGCCTAGCTAGCAACCTGAGGCGTGCTACCGAGATCACGACGGCAAGAGGAAGACGGGAAACTTGGCCCAACACCTCATAATAAGTGACTTTTTCCTCAGAATTGTTAGCACACGGAAGATGCAAAGCCGCACGATAAATCTGTTCGTGCGTGGTACGAACTTTTCTCCACAAATTATTAGAGAGCTCGAGCCAAGTTGCCGCATTATAAAGCAGCACGGAGCTAGCTAAACATTCTGCATACAGCACCTTTTTACGGATGCTGAGCATGGCCCTAGGTCCGATGACCTTCTTGATTGGGGCTAACGCAGACTTAGCCCCGTGACACCTTGCTACCACCTCCGTAGCCATGCTGTTGGTGGGGGAGAGGAAGGACCCTAAAACCCGATGGTCGATGACGATCTTGGCTTGAAAGTCCCATGCTTCTGACCTGACATGGAGATGAGGATCTCCGTACTTATCCAATCGCGCTGCCATCGACCCCTTCCCCCTGAATGCTAGAATGAAAACCGTTTTTGCAGCATTGGGAATTAAGCCACGTATGCAACAGGCCCGAAACACAGCATCAAGTACCCTCTGCGCAATCACGAGAAGCTGTCCTGCTTCAGACGTAACAAAGGGCTGGGTGAGATCGTCCACGAAGGAAGTCCCCCATTCTCTGGTGTCAAGTTGTGCTTCTCTTGCTATAAATAAATCCGTAGTAGGCAACCCAAACAAAGCCAGGAAATCATAAACATCATGGAGATCCCGATTAATATCGTCATGAACCCCCTGGAATACAATATTGAAGATATCCGTTGGAAAAACGGTGCCTGGCCTGGTGCCTCTGCGAGGCAGGGTATAATTAGATGCCGAGGCAACTCTCCAGAAAGCCCCCCTCTGGCTCTCTTTAATGAGGGCCAGGAGATGTTCGGATGGAATCCGATCCTCAAACATCGGCTTAGCCGCCAGTTGGTACTTGAGTCCTTCTAAAAGAAGGGGGGGCAAATCCATGTGAGAAAGCACATACTCAACATCCTCACTGTCTTGCGGGAGCGCCAAGACAAGCTGCCTCAAGGTGGTGTAGAACGCGTTTTTCAGGTCCAGAAGCAGGGCCCCAGCCGAAAGCCCGTGGAGTTCCGCAAGTTGAAAAAGCAAACGTGTGGTGAGGACAGCAATGTCGCACCCCCGACCCGGTATCCCTCCCATCTGCACTGACAGAACAGATGCATAAAAGTAGTCCATGGCGAGACTCCTTAAATACTTATGGTACATGTTGGTTAACACCGGTGAAACTAGGATACTGCGACGTGAGGCGGCCAAAGTAGAATCCCCAGAACCTTTGGGAAATGTACCCAAGCGAGCGGATTTAAACGCTATCGGTTCCCTGGCTTTAATAGCAGTTTTAACCAACAGGGGGGTCACGAGTCTCGCCAATTCCTTAGAGGCTGCTTTACCATATTCAGCTCTGAAACCATCGGTCCCAGGGACCCGACCTGTTTTCAGCCTCGCGAGGCCAGCTTCAACATCATAGATGGCAGGAACAACTGTAATATCACGTGGGAAATTCGTGTCGAGAAGAGGCAACATCTGATTATAGTCGTCAACCAATGCCTGAGGTTGTGCTTCCTTGCCCATCTCCACGCCCGAGAAGTGCTGCTGGATGTGATCAGCAATGTCGCCCTCCTCTCGTAAAACCTGACCTTGCGGTGTCCTGATCATTGGGAGTGGTGGAGGCCCCTGCTTTGGCCTAGATGGCCTCCCTCCACACAAAAGCAACTTCTTGACTGCCATCCACTCTGATAGAGGCTGCGCTCCATCGATGGCAGTGTTAATGTTTTCTCCACACTTGTCCAGAAAACGTGTGCGATCAGCTTCCAACAGATGATGCAAAACCGTTTCAGTGGATGTGAGAAAAACCAGGAGAGCCTGCGAATATTGTTCAAAACCCATACTGGCACGAAGACGCTGGACCGAGGCTCGCTCCAGATTTCGCAACTGAGAAACCCACCAGCTAAAATCACATGTCCCGAGGAGCATTTTCAGGTCCCCAGCGACCACCCTGAAAGCAAAGGAGGAAAATCTGCGCTCACAAGCTTCTGAGCCATGTCCCTGCCAGATACGAAGTGCTTTGTGTACTCCACGGCGGAATCGAATGAGAGCCAGAGAATCATTGTCAACATATTGCCTCTTGGCTCGAAGCGCCTTCTTCGCAAAGGCAGCATTGGCAGCATCATTGATATCCTGAAGCACCTCCAGAGCATGACTGGAAACATTGAGTTCCCATTCTCGTTGGGGTATGGCCTTCAGTAGTGTCTTGAATGGGCAACATCATCAGGATTTTTAAGCCTTCTCATATCAATGGGTTTGGCCTGGAGAAGGGGGTACTTGACAGCTTGTTGCCACTCAAACTTGG